GATGGGGGTGCTCAGGTGAGGGGGGGCATGTAGGGAGAGATGGCTTTGGCTGTGTTCTCTCAAGAATCTTACATCTCATCTCCTTTATTTACTTGATTAGGAGGCATGCTACCTATCTTTTCAACCCTGATTCTTTAAGAGGCTATCCATTTGATATTTCCATTTGCTTAATATTTTCTCACTTTACAACTGAGGTGCCATGGATAGATGGGAAGATGAAATGAAGCAGAAATTTCAATGCTTCTATTTCATGAGATCAGAACTTCTAATCTGGGGGAAAAGAAAAAAATTGACCTTTAATAAGTCTTCCTGCCATGGACTGGGAGGTTTGTGTCTCCCCAATTTCGTATGTTGAATCCTAATGCCTGATGTGATGGTGGTTGAGATGTAGGGCCTTTGGGAGGTGATCAGGTTGTGGGGGTGTAGCCTTCATGCATTGGATTAGTGGCCTTATAAATGGCCCGTGAGAGATCTACTGCACCTTCCACCATGTGAGGACACCGTGAAAAGAAAGCCCTCTAGCAAGTGGGTCCTCACTGGATGGGGGATCTGCCTGAATCTGCCAGTACCTTGATCTTCATCTTCTCAGCCTCCACAAGTGTGAGAAATAAATGTTTATTGTTTAAACCAGCTGGTATATGATGTTTTTGTTAGAATAGCTCAAACGAATTAAGGCACTTCCTTACCTGGGGAGACTAAAGTTTTTTTTTGGTTTTGTTTTGTTTTCTTTTGTTTTACAGAGAGAGAGAGAGAGAGAGCATGAGCAGGGAGAGAGGCAGAGGGAGAGGGAGAAGCAGGCTCCCCGCTAAGCCAGAAGCCCGATGTGGGGCTCGATCCCAGGACCCCAGGACCACGACCCTAGCCGAAGGCAGACGCTCAATCATCTGAGCCACCCAGGTGCCCCTTTTTTTTTCTTTTTTTATAGTTGTAACTATTCCAGGCCACTAAGGAATCACAATTTAGCCCACTTGCTGGGTGAAGCACAAAGATTTATAACACTAACTAATCATTGTAATTAAAAAATTACTTTGAATTTGGAAAATACTTTTCAAATTATAAAAAAATCTCATAAACATTTTCTCATTTTATACATGGGCATGCGTACAGATATATAAATATGAACATATCTGCATGGCAATGGCTCCCAGGGGAATACAGCATACCTTGAAAGTAGAATCCATTAGGATGCTTGGAAATCTAAGTGACTGTCAAAAAAGTTGGCTGGGTTGACTAGTGGAATCTATCTCAAATACCAAATCTTTCCCTAGATAAACACCTATAACTCCCATTACTCCTGGTATTTTAATGTAACCAAGGGTAAGAATTTTGGGAAGGAACTTTGCCCAGAGGAAATGAAAAGTGATGATCAAGAAAATAATCCAGCCCATTGAGAGTTGGGGATGAGTTGTTGAGGGCAGCCCTTGGCTCTGATTTCATGGATAAGAAGAATAAAATGTAGTTTGTGCTTATTTTCCTCCTTGGCAAGACAAATAAGACAGAAAGAAAATAGCTTTTGGACTAAAGCAGAATCTTAATAAAAGCCATGATAACAATAAATTGGAAGCAGAATTTAATTATTGTTTTTCTTTGCATGATTTGCTCTTTGCCTTCTTTGTAAACTTTCTAGGACTTAGTTTTGATTCTTCTTTTATCCTTCATCTGCTGATGTTATTTACATCCAGAATTGTGATATGTTTACCATATTATTAAAGTAGAACTGGATTTTAATTAAATATCAATTCAGGATCACAGCTTCAAGCTATTTGCCAGCACTGATGGTGATCAATAGAAGATGTTGAACAAAGAAGATAAACAGATTTTCTGAGTAGTCAAATATTTTTCATTTCCCTCTCTTCTTCCTTCTCCCGTTTCCCTGCTGTCCTGTTCCCCTCTCGACTAGTTCCCTCATTCCCCTTCTCCATCCCTCCACCTGCTTAATTTCTCATACGCTGCATATGTTTAATTTCCTGTGTGCTTTTCACTCATTCTATAGCATGCATTCAAACACGGGGAACCGGAAATGTTGACTGCCAGATCATCACGTTTGCTAATTCACAAATCTACTCTCAGTTGCCAGTTCCTTTGGATTAGGCATCTTTGAAACAGTTTCTATTATATGCTTGTTTTGGAATTATAAAATGTTATTTGCTTGATTGTGTATTTATTTTACAACAGTTAATTCACCCTGAGCTTTTATTTGGAAAAACCACTGCCTGCAAGAAGTAAACAGTTCGACGTATTCTAGAATATTATACCTAATTATCCCTTTATTTTTGTAATTGTACACCATTCCCTTCCAAGTTTAGCATTTTGGTTGATTTAACTCCTGCAGAAATTAAAGCTCTTTGTGAAAAATGTTGCTTAGAAAAATTTAGGGTTGTGGATTCGAAAGAGCTATGCTGAATTGGACATATGCTTCATGGAATTAGATCTTTGCCTGTATATTATAACAAGGTCATGATGGATTTGTTGATATGCACTCATTTACTTCTTTTACTTATGCATTCATGTGCTTTTTGCAAAATTATCTGAATATAAAAAGAATTTAAAAGCAATTCAGTATCACGTATTGGCAGTAGTCCACCATTCCATCAAGTAATGAATCTGATCACATTCACTTATAGCCTGAATGTATAAATTGCACAAAATTTAGTGAAATAGTAATTTACATTGTATATTCAGTGATATGAGAAATTTCTATATTGTCTTTCCCTTCCACATATAAACACATATGTATATGTATATGTATCACATGTGTATGATCATTATACTGCTAAAACGGTTCTGGATTTTTAATTTTCTTCTTAAGAACATGTGTCCTTTAAAGTCTCTCATATTTGTCCACTTTTACCTTTTTCTGACTGAACTTTCTTCTTCCTTCTCTTCCATGTCCTTTGCTTGCTTAGGAAGATTATTCCTATATACCTTTGCCTTTATACCAGTAATTTCCCAAGTGAATTGCCGACGAAATCTGTGTACTCCTGCTTAGGCTTGTTCTTTTGACTTCTGGGCATATGAACTATCTCTTTAAGGAACTCACCATTTTACACATCCCTTGCTCTTCAGCTGGACACATGGCCTATGTTAATAATTTTTCCTTCAACAAACAATGAGCACTTGATCGTTGCCTTCATGATTTCTCCTCCTCACTAGCCTGTGTCTGTCATTTTGCTCCACTACCACCCTGGAATATGGTGACTGATTCTCTCCCATCTTCCATCTCCTTCCTTTTCTCCTGGGAAGAATATTGGGAAGCATGTTATCATAATATTTTTATGGGTGTTGAAGAGAGGCTGCCCCATGATGCAGGGGGCAGTGTTGTGTGGTTGGTAGCTGATGTGCATGGATAGAGAGAAGTCATGAACTTTCTTGATAAGTAAACCTGTGACTTGCTGCAGTATACTCAGTGTATTGGCCAGTAGGGCTCAGGTATGTTTTAATGGTCTTTGGAATGAGTGGAAGTAGGAATGAAATACGTATGGGTAATATGAGAGATTCAGTTGAGATTTAACACCAGTGCTTTACTAATAGCCCAGTGACTATGTTCAGCAAAGAAAAATGGTGGAATTAAAAAGTTGAAATTGAGGAGTCATATGAACAAAAGAAAAAAATCTTACTGAGGAAAGCAAAACCTGAAGAGTAGAAGACAAGAAAGAAAGGGCATACTGAGTGAGGCTGTTCAAAAATTAATTTAAAAAATAAATCATAGAAGATCACTTTGGAAGTCTTGGAGACAATTTGTCTTGCTACTGTAACCTTTGGAATCATAACTAAATTATATAAAATATTTAAAAATCAATAAATAGGGCAAACCAGACAGAGGAGGGGTTGAATGGCAGAGGGGACTATGGAAGGCAAGTGGAATAGAGCCTTCAAACAATATTAATGAGACAGATGACCAAACAAAATAAATGGTCCAATTGCTCCCTAGAAGAGCTTTGGGGTAGAAGTTAATTTAACAAAACCTGTTGCTGTTTTTCACCTGTTCAAGGAACAGACCTTCTGCAATCCTAAACTTTTCTGTCTAGCCATCTTGACAGTTTTTCTCCCCTACACAGTTCTGGTGATGGAAAATTTCATAACCCTTGCAGATGCAGGATTCTATCGAACGTTGATTAAACTTTAATCAAATCAAACAAATCAAATCAAATCAAATTTTCTCTTTCTAAAAATTTTTTTAGAATGGAAGAAGAGTTACCAATGAGAATGGTAAAATGCTGCTGAAATCCTTAGGGGAAATGTTCCTAGGTCACTCATTCACAGCAAGGGTTTGGTAACTTCAGTGTTCATTTGTTGCAGAAGGTTGCTGGTTCGATTGATGGTCCACAATGGCCATGTAGGGTAGAATATTTCATGAACAAAACACAATTTGTTTATTTAATTATTTTTAAAGATTTTATTTATTTATTTGACAGAAAGAGACACAGTGAGAGAGGGAACACAAGCAGGGGGAGCGGGATGAGGAGAAGCAGGCTTCCCATGGAGCAGGGAGCCCAATGCGGGGCTCAATCCCAGGACCCTGGGATCATGACCTGAGCTGAAGGCAGACGCTTAACAACTGAGCCACCCAGGCGCCCCCAAAATTTGTTTAAACACTATAGGTATATTGGCATATTTTTTTTTTTGTCAAAATTAGAAATGTCTATGGGTGAGAAGTTATCACCTTATGAAATGAGTCACCAAGTAGCAGGTTTATACTGCCATTTAGAGAAGAGCAGAAGTAGCTTTATATGTGTATCCCTCCACACGCCCTCACCTCACAAACATTACACACACACACGCATACCTACGCACACATCCACGTTTCTGGGTATATAAATAGTCAGGTAGCTTTCCTCTAAACACAGAAAAGATAAACTTTCCAGGTAAGTGATGACTATTATTGGTTGACATTTAAGAGGGTTATATTAGGGAAGGAAGTGTTTTGTCGAGTAGCTGATTGAGCCGTTTAGTGTGGCTGCTTAGAAAATTAATTTTGCTCTTTTTTTTTTTTTTAACAGAACTGTTTCCTACGTGAGACACTTTCCCTCCCACCTCTCCTCTACAGCCTGTAGATTTAAGTGAAATTAATACTGGACAGACCATCAGTCATTATCTGTGGGCACTAGAAAACAGGTAAATCATGATATTATGAAGCTCGAAAAGTTATACATTAACTCCAGGTAAGCAGATGGTCAAACCCTTCTCAGATGATTATTAATTAAAATCCTTATGGAGTGTAGATCTTTATTCAACCTGTCTAACTTATTTTCAGGCTGTATATAGAGGGAGGGTTGGGGTGAGAAAGGGAGAGAGAAGGGGAATATAAACAGTTAATTTGTAGTCATATAAGAAAAATAAAAATATTTTCAACTTTTCACACTTGCAATACTGTATCCTCAAGCAGAGTAATTGTCTTACTTTATTCAAAGCAAAATGAAGTAAAAGGTTGGTACCTTAATATTCTAGATCCACATTGTGGATAAATTGGCATATCAAATCTTTCCAAAATCAGGGTTATCCTCTTTACCAGTGAAATAACCCAAGGTAAAATATATGGTTTGATATTTCAGAGAAAATCTTATTATAAGCAACTTGGGATCACTGAGATTGAGAATATTTGGCTTTAAGTAAACATGTAGTAAACACCTCCTCACGTAGGAGATGAAATCACATGTGTGAGTTGCCTTGCCTTACTTGGGGGTTATTCCCATTTCAAAACACTATCCTTACACGTCTGACTTGCTACTTGGAATGCCTATCCTCAGAGTCACTTTTTTCTTTTTTTAATTGAAACTCCAGAAGGCCCCTCTTTAAATACAAATATGAGTCTCGGGAGAACTGACTCATGAGTCCCCTGTATTGTCATAAAGAACACTAGCCAGGAGGATGAAAATGTCACACAAGTGCCAGAGAAAGGAATTTTGTCAGGCAGTGTGGTGGGTAACCAGACTACTTCATTCATCCCTTAACACAACCCCATGGGTTCCTTTTATTCCCATTTTACAGATTACGAAAATGTGAGATTAAGTAATTTGCCTAGAATTATGCTGTCAGTAAATCTGTTCTTTTTCTTTCATATCTCTCTGCAATGAGTGCTATTTTTTTTTTTTAATAAGGATATGGCTAAAAGGAAAGCTTTGTTTGTTTTGAAATCTTATTAGCATACCAACCCCCTATGGAGAAAATTCATGCCCTTGAGATGGAACATTGGGTTCAAGCAGCCTATGTAGTTAGTATTTGGAGCTGCACTCTTTTTTTTTTTAAGATTTTATTTATTTGAGAGAGAGAGCTTGTCATAGCTGCTAAAGATGCTGCTCTTCATGAGGGCTCTTGTTTTAGAATGTGAGGGGGTGGAGGCAAGGAGTGAAAGGTGACTGGGAGGTTAAGAGTCACAGGAGTTTACCTGAGAAGTGCAAAGTGTTCGTGGGAGGTTAATGGAGAACCCAAGTTCACCAGTGACGTTATGTCGTAAGAAGGATGAAGACAGATAAGCGGGACTCAAACTCATCAAGGCAGTGTGCTTCTGCTTTTGCTCTTGGAGAAGGAGCAGTTCCAGAAACAAAGTGGGGTTTACAGAGAATGTCGATGCAATAATAATTTTCATGTCCAAGGCGGTGGCAATTTTTTTGATAATTTGTGTTAAAAAGGAATTTGAGTTTCTCAAAAGGGAAGGCTGAGAGGATGACTTAATTACTATCTTCAAGTATATAAGGGATTGTTACAGTATTTAGAAGATGACAACCAGCTGTTCTCCGTCTCCAAAGAGGAAAACAAGAGAAAATGAATTTGCAAAGTGGCAAGGACTTAGACTGGAGACAAGAAAGAACTTGATTATTACGTATTTTCTTCACCACGTTGCTATTAAATGCTGAAGGAGGGAACTTGTGTGTCTGGGGGAGATCTGTTGGCTTTTTAGAGTGAGTGTCATCTGGTCAGTCCACTCCTCCCTCTGGGCCAAAGGTCTACAGTATTGAGGACACGGTTACTAGGAACACATTTGAGATGGCTTTGGCCCTGCGTGACTTTATGATTTCTTCCTCTTTAATACCTAGAATATTGTTTAAGGGAAAAATGAAGGGGGGAAAATTGGAGGGGGAGACGAACCATGAGAGACTATGGACTCTGAGAAACAAACTGAGGGTTTCAGAGGGGAGGGGGATGGGGGATGGGGGTTGGGTTAGCCTGGTGACGGGTATTAAAGAGGGCACGTTCTGCATGGAGCACTGGGTGTTATACGCAAACAATGAATCATGGAACACTACATCAAAGACTAATGATTTAATGTATGGTGATTAACATAACATAATAAAATAAAATAAAACAAAAAAAACCCTAACTCCCAGTAAAAATTAGTTTTTTTCAAATCTGACCATGACATTGATAATAGAATTTAATACTTACCTTTTTCTTCACTAAGATTTAGTTTCTCATTAAGACTCAATTGCAGAAAAATGCCGTAGGAGTCTTAAATTATCAGTGAACTTCCAAGTATGTCTATCCTGCTGCCTGGCCATCAATGATATGGGGTTATTATGTTGATAAAGAACATGCTTATGATATTAGGCCTCTTTTTTTTGTTTTACTAGGGTTCCTGATGATTTTTAGGATAAGATTTTCTTTGTAAGTTGAAACTAACAGCTGTAATTCTTCTACCTAGAGAGGAAAAGATTCAGGAAGGTGTTTGATGATTCTGTCAGGGTGTTATGTATTTTTAAGCCCTAATTGATAAACTATAATGTGATGCAAAATCACTTTGGGTGACTCTATATAGACAAAGAGTAACTTTGGCACTCCAGGTAAAGTAACCAATCTGGATCTTTTTAAAGAAGGTAAGAATTTGAGACCGTGTCGAAATCAAAACACAGAATCTTTTGTTATCTTAAACTTACACTTTCTCTGTTCATTTTTTAATACTTTCCTTTCTTCCTGGTTTAATAAAGTTATATAATATTTAAATACATATTGGCAATACAATTTAATATTTATATTTATATTTTAAATAGCGGGAGGTATTCATAGGTAAACTCTTCCCTGATAACCTTTGGTCGAAAGATGGGTTTCCAGTTGTGGCTTAAGTTTTTGAAACCTTAAATGATGGTAGGAGTTTACTTCTTAGAGAATAGGATTTGTGCCTTATTTAGCAGCTTTGTTTGCGCCATTAACCAAAAAACTTAAAAATTAAGGTATCATATAGTTCATTACTACTGTTTACAGCTCTTTGTATATTACTATATATTTGAAGAGACGAGGCAATGCCATTTTATAAATATAGTGATGTTATTTATTTTGTCATAAGGAAACGTTCATTTCACTTGACACTATAAAATGGCCCTCCGTGCACATTGTGATGCTGATATGAATTGTTTACCTGTCTGCTAATAGCAATTAGATTTCTTGTTAATGACCAGTTTGTAATTGAATGCTGCTAGCTAGTCATTAAAACTCAAGAGATCAGAGGAAACAATTTCTCAGGCTTGTGGCATCTTGCTCCGGAGGCTTTAAAAACAGCTCCATGTATATATTTTTCCTTTTAAATTTGCTACTAGAGTGCAAAGGGAGTCAGTCATTGCTGTTTTGTTCACTATACATACTTCATTAAAATAAGTCCACTCCTTACAGAATTTCTAGTTTAAGAGAGCTAATGGCGATATCAGTCTATGGTATGTACTGAAAACAAGGAGGACACCCAAAATGTTTTAAAATTTAACTATACATACTTATACTGAAGTGCTCTAATGTCTGTTTTAAAATGGAACTCATTTAGGGTAGGGAACTTGACTTTGCCAACACTCTCTACCCTCTTTTCTTAGCAAATTTGATTTTTTATACTCTAAGATGGCATTTTGAAATTGTTATTTTTCTCCTCAGTTTCTACCAGTTCCCTCCCCCTCACGATATACTTAAAGAGGAGATTGAGGCAATAAAGGAGATAAACCTCATCTTTTCATCTCTGAGTCCAGTGGTAGAATAGAGTAGGAAGACTGAGGGGATTCCCTCCTTGAAGGACACTGGAGAAATCACAATAAGAGACCCTTCATCCCAGTTTGAGGCTCGGAGGGCTCTGCTTTCTCCCATCCTTTGACCAGTGTTTGGGCAACTGGAACATACCAACAACTCTTATTAGGAATTATGCCCTGGCTCTCAAACACCTGAATTTAACCTACTTTGCTGTTACGCAAACTCTACATTTGGGGAACACAAGAGTACACTTGCTATTATATTTCATGAATGTTCTCTGAATGCATACACATGTGCACACACAAAATGCATGCATACACCTATAGGAACATCGTTCACAGGGCTTTTGAATTTCTCAGGGCATTAGGTGATGTTTTCAGAACCTGATGACAAAATTTCTCATTCTGCTCCAGTCAATAAAGCAATGAGTTTTCCTGAGTCTTCTCAAGGGCTGATTGCTAGGCAGAATAAATTCTTTAAAACTTTTTTGCCCTTTAACTTTATTAAATGCCTGACATTTAACAACATTAGCTGATGGCAGAAGATGAGTCCTGCTCCGTGTGCTGTATCCTGGAACATGATGCAAGACATAAAAAGAAATCTGGACGGAAATGTTGCCATTAGTTTGGAAGTTGCTGTTTAATCTGAGTTATTTTGGGGAGGAAAATGACTCACAGAAGCTAAGTGTTCCTACAGATTGTGATATTGTAGGAGGCTGGCATGGCTCTTCATTAATCTTATTTCAATTAGAACTCTTCACAGCCCGCAATTAGAATGTTGCTGCTGTGATGAATCCATACTGTACATGTAGCAGAGACTGTTTTCTAATGAAGAAAAACAGGCCACTTGGCATTTTAAAGACAAATTTCCATTTTGGGTAATTCAATAAATGCTTATGCTTCGCCTGTTCTCTCTACACTCTTAGAATCGTTCCCTCAAAGCTGGCGAAATTTTCGATTAATCCTAATCATGTCAAACATAACTGTTGCACATCTTCTAGAATGTGTCTTAACCGTGAGGGAATGACCCCGTAACAATGTGACACTTGTCTGTAGGTTAGCCTAGGGCTCTGCAGCCTTGGTCTTAAAGGGCCAGATAGTAAGTATTGACGCTTGTGGGCGGCATGGTCTGTGGCGTGACTGCTCAAATCTGCCACTGCAGCTCGAAAGCATAGA